TGGTACAAAGGACATATAGTCAACCTTTACATGTGATCAGTGCAACAAAGAAACAAGGAGTACTATAGGAGTAAATAACAGGGTCACCTAAACTGACTGGGATGCAAGGAAGGCCTTTTTCAACTTGTGGATCTGGAGGATGGGCAGGACTGGCCAGAGCCACAAGACTGCCTGCTTTACCCATTAATTACTTATAGGCCAGGCGCGGTGGTTCACGCCAATAATACCAGCACTTTGGGAGGCCGAGAAGAGAGGGTTGCCTGAGACCACAGGTTCGAGACCAGTCTGGGCAATTTGGCGAGAACTCATCTCTACAATAAATTTAAAAATCACCCAGGTGTGGTGGTAAGCGCCTGTAGTTCCAGCTATTTGGAGGCTGAGGCGGAAGGATCACCTGAGCCCAGCAAGTAGAGGTTGTGGCGGCCATGAACTTGCCACTGCACTCCAGCCTGGGTGAAAGTAGGAGACTCTGACTCAAAAAAAAAATAATTATTTAACCAACAAATGCCTCATACTATAGTGATTCTTTTGCACTAAATGCCATTTAGCTATAGGTGCCCAACAATGAGAAATAAGTTTCTTGTTAAAATTATGGGCCACCATTAACCACTAGGGGGAAGAACCAATTCATTAAATGGTGCTGGAAAAACTGGCTGAAGATTAAAACAAGACCCTTCCCTATCATCATACACAAAAATCAACTCTAAATGGATCAAAGACCTAAACATAAAACCTCAAACCATAAGAACCTTAGAAAACGCAGGAGACACCCTTATGGAAATTGGAACTGGTAACCAATTCCTGATCAAAACCCCAAGTACCCATGCCATAAGAGATAAGATAGACAACTGGGACCTCATTAAACTGAAAAGCTTCTGCAAAGCCAAAGAAACCATCAAGAGAACAGGGAGACAGCCAACAGAATGGGAAAAAATATTTGCCACCTATATATCTGACAAAGGCCTAACATCCAGGATCTACAAAGAACTCAAACTTGCTGAAAAGAAAAAAACAAATAGCCCCATTACAAAGTGGGCAAAAGACATGAATAGACACTTCTCAAAAGAAGACATACCAGCAGTCAACAGATACATGAAAACCTGCTCAGCTTCACTAGTCATCAAAGAAATGCAAATTAAAACCACACTGAGGCCAGGCACAGTGGCTCACTGGCCGGGCATGGCAGCACATGCCTGTAGTTCCAGATACCTGGAAGGTTGAAGCAGAAGGATCACCTAAGACTAGCAGGTCGAGGCTGTGGTAGCCTGGAGCATGCCACTGCCCTCCAGCCTGGATGACAAAGTGAGATTCCATCTCAGAAAAAAAAAAAAAACACACTGAGATACCACCTAACTCCATGGTCAGTACAGCTATCCTCAATAACTCAAAAAACAACAGATGTTGGAGAAGATGCAGGGAAAAGGGAACACTTCTACACTGTTGGTGGTAATGTTAACTAGTACAACCTCTGTGGAAAACTGGCTATTTCTTAAAGATCTAAAAATCAACCTTCCATACGACCCCATAAGCTGCCTACTGGGAATATACCTGGAGGAGATCAAATCCCTCTATGAAAAAGATACCTGCACATGCATGTTTCTTGCAGCATTATTCACAATAGCAAAACCATGGCACCAAATCATTCTGCCCATCAAAAGAGGGCTGGATTTTTTAAAATGTGGTACATATACACAATGGAATTTTACGCAGTCATAAAGAAGGACAAAATTATGAACTTCGCAACAACTTGGATGGGCTTAGAGTCTACAATACTGAGTGATCTATCACAGAAACAAAGTACCACATGTTCTCACTCATAAGCGGACCTTCAACAATTATCATAATACTGTAAGAAAAGAATTCTGGCAGTAGTGGGAAACTGCCAGGGAAGTGGGGGCACACCTTATCAACAAGGGTGCCAGCATAATGAACATTTGTATACCTAACCCTGAACTGTGCCCCACATCTTTAAAATTAAAAATTATAAAAAAGAACTAAGAAACAAATTCATTAAAGTTTTAAGATAAAAAATAAAATAAAATTGTAGGGATTTTATTGTGGCTTCATTTCCCAGGGAAGTCAGTGAGTAACAGTTAAAGAATATTCTCAATTTATTTTCTCAAGCTTTATTCTATTTTCCAAGGGGGGAGAAAAAGCCCATTCATTTGGACTCCAAGGAAATCTCAAATCTATTTCCTATCCTGAACCCTTCTATGATACATATAACAATCCTGCAAATACTTCCACAACTACATATGACCAATGCATCAATACTATCCATGAACTTATTTATCTTCCCCATTCATCTAAATAAGAGCTATATGTCAAATATCTACAGGACTTAAAACAGGTAACAAATGAGTAATGTAAAGATATCATTTACTTACACAAAGACATGGTGTTTCAGCCCTTTTTTTTTTTTTTTTGAGACAAGATCTCACTATGTTGCACAGGCTGGTCTTAAACTCCTGTGTTCAAACAATCTTCCTGACAAGTAGCTGAGACTACAGGCGTACATTAATGCACCCGGCCCAATCACTTTCTTTAATTATATGGCCCTTCTTTTTCTACCTTTCTTATTTTTGATAGAACATAAATACCTCATTTTCCTATCAACCCTATTTAAAGGGGAAAAAAAAGCTCAAGCTCCATAACAGATGCAGCTGACCTCAAATTTGGTGTCAGGAATTAGCAGGAAATAGTTAAGGTATACTATTACACATATTATAAAGGGGACAACCAAATATAACTTAGCTCCAACCTACATCTGTTTTCTGGAAAGATTGCTAGTCTCCAGTTTTTAAGAAAAGCCAGAAAGTTAAGCTTTTGTATGCAATTCTCAATTGTTAATTTTTACAACTTACTCAAAAATTGTTAAAGACATTAGTGAAGTTAAAAAAAAAAAAACTACACATTGATTCAGTCAGACCGAGATCACAAATGTTTAACTGGTTTAAGTTCTCAGACAGAGGAAACAATTTTGGTTCGTCTTTATACTGTAAACTCCACCGTTACACCAGAATTTAGCTTTTTTTTTTGATGTGGAGTCTCACTCTGTCATCTAGGCTGGAGTGCAGTGGCACACTCATAGTCACTACAGCCTCAACCTGCTGAACTCAGGCAATCCTTCCGCCTCAGCCATCCAAAGTAGCTGGAAGTACAGGAGTGTGCCACCACGTCTGGCTAATTTTTTCATTTATTGTAGAGATGAGGTCTCGTCAAGTTACCCAGACTGGTCTCGAACCCCTGGTCTCAGGCAATCCTCTCACCTCAGCCTCCCAAAGTACTAGGATTACAAGCTTGAGCCACCACATCCAGCCTTTAGCTGGACTTTTTTTGTTTTCCTCAGAAATGAACCTTTAATAGGAACTTATAAGCAGTAGCCATAGTTTCAGGCAGCCCCCGAGAGGACATGGTGGACCCCTCGCTGGACTCTTAACAAATATTTTTTTGGCCATTGCTTGGCCACCATTTGCTTTTGTTGAACTGGTCTGGCCATGTTTCCCTAAGCTTTGGCCTCCTCTCTTACCTTGAAGGGGAAATCTCCTCTCTCTCTCTCTAATCTACTTTCTAAATAAGCTGTGTTTTCCAATCTAGATATATACACAGGCAAACAACTGATGGATTTTGCAGCCAAACTAAGAATCATATTTTTCATGGTATACAGACCACCATCTCTTTACACCTCTATTTACCTTCCTACAAGGCAAACAAAAATTCTACAATTACACTTCTTCTAACTTTAACTCACCTACGAAAGTAAAAATCTTTAATACCACTTCCTATGGAGTTACATATTCATTTCTTTTTACTCTTCTAAATGTTCCCTTAATTATTCCACCTCTCCCTTTTTGCCTCCCTGTGCTTCTCCTTTCTAACGAAATAATTTCCCATGAACTGGATCTCTGGCTTTTGTTTGTCTGTTCTTTTCCACCATAACATCTCAGGTCTAAAAAATATAACCAGATTTTGCCAGGCACAGTGGCTCACACCTATAATCCCAGCACTCTGGGAGGCTGAGGTAAGAGGATTACCTGAACCCACGGGTTCGAGACCAATCTGGGCAACTTGGCAAGACTTCATCTCTACAATAAATCAAGAGAAATTAGCCGGGCATGGTGGCACACACCTGTAGTTCCAGCTATGAAGGCTGAAGCGGAAAGATTGCCCGAGTCCAGCAGGTCGAGGCTGTGGTGGCCATGAGCGTGCCACTGCCCTCCAGCCTGGGTGACAGAGTAAGACTCCAACTCAAAAAAAAATTTTTTTAAATATGACACATGCTAATTGATACTCTCCAATATTCTAACATTTCAAGGAACAAGGCCAAAGGGAAAAATAAAATTTGATAAAAGTCCAAATTTAAATCTATTCAAAAACTATATTGCCACAATAATGGGCCTTTTTGTATATTTTGAAAATCTGTTATTTGCACTAAATATCCTACTTAAGTTTAATACCCTAGTAAGAAAGCACAGTTTAATAGGATTTATGTTTACATCCATTTTTTTATTCAATGAAAACAAACATTGTTCACATAAGGGGAAAGGGAAAGAAATTCTAGCATAAATTTTAAGATTTGGATGATATATTTTTTGAGGTCATTAATAATGCTCTTAAGTCATGCCTGTCATAAAGGAAAATACATAATTGTGTCATTTAAAGATCTGCAGGACCTTGAACGATTATTGTAATACTATAAGAAAGAATTGTCAGTAGTGGGAAACTGCCGGGGGACGGGGAGGCACACCTCATCAACAAGGGTACCCATATAATGAACATCTGTATACCTAACCCTGAATTGTACCCCACATCTTTAAAATAAAAAAAAAATTTTAAAGATTTGCAGGCACCACTTTCCAAGCAATGGAATACATGAAGTTAACAGACACCTTAAAAAGTAGCTGAAAATATAAAACAATCTTGAATGTACAGAATGTATGAGCCAGTTCCAAAGGCAAGTTAAATATGAAATGCACTTAAAATCTCACTTTCTAGCATACCTGTGGTCATCAGTTGGCGACTGTACCAAAGTGTTATCTTCTCCAGAAGAGAGTTTCCATGATTCGTGTAATGTGTGTTCACTTGTTCCCAGCTCACCCAAAACCCAGGCTGGTAATCCCTCTGGGCTTGAACCTTTTGCTCGTGCTGGATTTGGTTCATCAAAATAGATGGACTGATTTTTTTAAAAATTAGAAAAATTATTCTTTCAAAATGCAGCAAAATAGAACTATTAAAACTTCCATCAAGTTTCAAGTTTAATAACAGCCTTTCAACTACTTAAATTCATATAAGTATTTACATACAAATATTTAAAAATCAGTAAATTAACAAAGAATTTTGAAATACTAAAATACAAAAAAAATCAATATACTTAAGCTAGTTGTGCTCTATTATATGAAAAATACGATAAGCAAAAATTAGATAATAGGCAAATCTGAAAATAATAATCAGCTTTGTGAAAAGTCAAATAGCTTTTAAAAATCATGTGCTCCTATTTCTTTCTGTAATCATTAACCACTCTGCACAAAAAAAAAAATCAGTGGGCAAATAAACCACAATCAACACAAATCAGAAATAAAAATTAGGAATCCCTTGTTAAGGCAAGGACAACAGAGTGTGGGTTAGTTCTGGCCATCCTATTAATTAGCCGGGAAACCCGCGATGGGTCTCCAGGTCTTCTTGTTATTATCTGCAAAATAAAGCCTTTCTCCACGAGTCTATGAAATTGAGTGTTAATGGAAACTTTTTTTTTTTTTGAGATGGCGTCACACTCTGTCGCCCAGGCTGGAGGACAGTGGCACACTCCCAGCCACCACAGCCCCAACCTGCTGGGCTCAGGTAATCCTTCCACCTCAGCCTTCCAAGTAGCTAGAGCTACAGGCACGTGCCACCATGCCTGGCTAATTTTTTGATGTATTATAGGGATGAGGTCTCGCCAAGTTGCCCAGGCTGGTCTCGAATCTGTGGCCTCAGGCATTCTTCTTACCTCGGCCTCCCAAAGTGCTGGGATTGCAGGCATAAGTCACTGCAACCAGTCAATGGGAAACATTAAATCTACATGTGCTTCATAAAATGTTCTACTTTTACACTTTTCTTAAGAAAACTCTACAATGACTGGACACTTCTACAACAATTCTCCCAATCCTACAAAGAATATCCTCAGGAGGTTATTCTCTAGGGAGGGTTAACATATGACCCTTATTCTAAATCAGAGATGCACAGAAATGTCTTCTTAAATGAAACAGTCACTCCAACATCTAATCAACTATTGAGTTAAGTAAATACTATCCCAAATACTACTGATCTTAACTGAAGCAAAATGTATAGCTCTATTTTAACATGCAATTGGCATTAAAACTTTTGTCATTCTGCCACAGAAAACAAAAATTGTATTCTAGCATGCAGCGTGCCTCTTGACTAAATTTTGCTTTAACTAAACATGAAATACAGAAAACTCTTAAAATATTGCAGCTCAAATAAATTATACCTATACATCCTAACAGCAACTACCAAAATCTAATACTCCAGTCAGATCTCTCAAGTTCACGTATTCCAATATCACATAAACCAAGGTATATTTCATGATTACAAAGGTCATAACAATAAAAGTTCATCAAACAAGCATAACAATAACTACCTTTGTAACAAAGTGGATATTTGACAGTAAATGTAACCAAAGTATAGAAAATAACTTTTAAACTCCAACTTACTATTGTCATTCTATTAAGAGTAAAAAGGACATTTAGAAGTCACTCAATAAAACTGCTCATGAATTTTAAAATAAAATATATGAAAGAGTTTAATAAACTAGAGTTTACTGAAAAAACATAAAATAATCCTATTATAATCCAGTGAGAATTAGTAAGAAATTAAACCTCAATAATTAAAAACTCATTCTCAGTTTTTTAGAAATATTATAGTATACTGAGGGATAACTATATCAATAAGGATATCCTCCTCAAAGGCATATACTTGTTTTCTATTAAGGTGGAAAAAACTGAATCAGGAAGAAAAACAGTTTTTTGCTTTTTGGTTTTTTGAGTCAGAGTCCCACTCTCTTGACCAGGCTGGAGTGCAATGGCATGATCACAGCTCACTGCAGCCTCAACCTGCAGGGCTCAGGGAATCCTTCTGCCTCAATGTCCTAAATAGCTGGAACTATAAGCATGTACCACCACATTCAGCTAATATTTTTATTTTTTTTGTACAGACAAGTTCTCACTATGTCCCTAGATTGGTCTCGAACTCCTGGGCTCAATCAGTCCTGTCACCTCAGCCTGCCAAAGAGCTTGAATCACAGATGTGAGCCACCATTCTTGGCAAGGAAAGTAGTTTTAACAAATATTATCTAGCACATACAACTTCATAGTATTATTATATTATATTAACATTCCCAAAAGAGACAATAACTTTAAATTCACTTTTTTTTTTCAATCTTCCCTGCCCTGGAGACATTTAAAAAAAAAAAAAATGAAACTAATATATCTTTTGGTCATTGATACCTACCATGTATGAAGGTAAAGTTTTTAGTGTCCCAGGTTCAGGTCGGTGCGTAAAAGGGCCTTCAAGCACTCCTCGTTTAAGCATATGTAATAACAGTTTTGCATACAGGTTCCGATTCTTCCTTCCCATTATTCCTGCACCTATTCCTGAAGGCTCACATAGTTTTCTAATCCAGAGAGCACACCTCTGCCGTTCTAGAAATACATAAGAATTATCAAAAACTTGATTTTTCAAAAACTAAAACATCACAAAGACCTATAATAATATGCACTTAAGTACTGAACAGGGATCAGCAAACTTTTTCTGTTAAGGACCAGATAGCAAACACTTTAGATTTGCATGCCATGTGATCTCTGGTGCAACGACTCAACTCTGCCATTGTAGTATGAAAGCACTTACAGGTCAATGAATGGAATGGCTGCATTCCAACAAAACGCTACCCAAAAAGGCTGTGGTCAAGAGCTGGTTCATGAGCTACCGTCTGCTGACTCCTGGTCTGGAAGGTACATTTATCAGTTAATTGGCAACTGGGCAAGGCAAATGCAAAAACTATTTTCACAAAAATAAAATTTATTGATTACCAGTAAATTTCTTAGAAAGATTTTGTTATATTTTGCTTCTCTAAAATAATTTTATTTGAAAATCTGGTCGGGCATGGTGGATCACACCTATAATCCCCGCACTTTGGGAGGCCAAGGCAAGTTGCTTGAACCTAAAGAAGAATTCAAGACCAGCCTGGGCAGCATAGCAAGACTTTGACTATATAAAAAAAAAAAAAAAGAAAAAATTAGCTGGGCACGGGGTGCACACATGTAGTCCCAGCTATTTAGGAGGCTAAGGTGGGAGGATAACTTGAGCCCAGGAGTTCAAAGTTGCAGTGGGCCATGATTGTGCCACTGCACTCCAGCCTGGGTGACAGAGTAAGACTCCAACTCCAAAAAAAAAAAACCTCTCTATAATTCCAATTATATAAACATAGAAAGACAAAAAAATGCAGTCTCTGATTTATCTAAGCATTTTCAACTTACTCTAAAATTAAATCCCAAGTGTTTTATTTACTAAAGCCAATAACATCCAGGGATTTACAGCTGATTTATTTAAGGTTTTAACATCTCTAAAAATAACTGAGTACTATTTACACACAAGTTTTGTAAATTATCCTTTTATTTATTTATTTACTTACTTACTTACTTATTTTACGTTGGAGTCTCACTCCATTGCCCAGGCTGGAATGCAGTAGCACGCTCACGGCCACCCCAGCACTGACCTGCTAGACTCAGGCAATCCTTCCATCTCAGCCTTCCAAGTAGCTGGAACCACAGGCGCACACCACCACACCTGGCTAATTTTTTTTTTTTTTAATTGTAGAGATGAGGCAAGTTGCCCAGGGTGTTCTCGAATCCATGGGCTCAGGCAATTCTCTCACCTGGGCCTCCCAAACAGCTGAGATTACAGGCTTGAGCCACCATACCTGGCCAAAACAATCATCCTTTTAAAAATCTATCTAAAGCCAGGCAAGGTGGCTCACGCCTATAATCCCAGCTATTTGTGAGGCCGAGGTCAGAGGATTGCTTGAGCCCATGGGTTCAAGACCAGCCTGGGCAAACTGACTCTACAATAAATCACAAAAACTAGCCAGGCGTGGTGGCACATGCCTGTAGTTCCAGCTACTTGGAAGGCTGAGGCAGAAGGATCACCTGAGCTGGGCTTGGTGGCTCAGCCTGTGATCCCAGCACTTTAGGAGGCCAAGGCAAGAAGACTGCCTGAGCCCAGAGGTTTGAGACCAGCCTGGGCAACTTGGTGAGACCTCATCTCTACAATAAATCACAAAAACTAGCCAGGCATGGTGGCATGTGTCTGTAGTTCCAGCTACTTGGAAGGCTGAGGTAGAAGGATCGCCTGAGCCCGGCAGGTTGAGACTGTGGTGGCCATGAGCATGCCACTGCAATCTAGCCTGGGCGGCAAAGAGTGAGACTCTAACTCAAAAAAAAAAAAAAAAAAATAGAATTTGGCTACAAGAAAATGTAAAGTATTGTAAATTTCTATTTCTTGATTGGGATGTGAGTTACCAATTGTTCATTATTAAATCAATTAAACGAAAAAGGGCTTTGGGTGTATTCAATACTGACAATGTGTCATGAACCAAAGACTACAATTAATCTACTCTATGTACTTAAAATCTTTATTTATAAGAAGGCAAAATATGAGGGTAGTTTGACTGGAAGACACTTAAAATACAAAATTGTAATACAAATATTTTGTAATCAACAAATCTAAGACAAAAAGAAAAAAGACAGTGATTATCAGAAGAGGCTGCAGCACAGAAAAATCTATAAAAATCTTTAAATCTTTAAAATCATTCAAGTAATCATGGTTGAGTCATGGGACATGAAACATTCATTTGAAGAACAGCAGAGGAAGAAAGAAGAGGCTAAAGTCCAACAAGAGAAGAAAAGAGTAGACAGGAAGAGGCTCCAAGGGAGCTCGTGCCACCCTGCCCTGGACCAGGAAAGGCGGCAGGCCCCAGAACCACGGAACACACGATTCAAGTATCACACTCCCTTCTCCTAACACAGCTCCCTAGAATAAACACAGTAGCCTCCCTTGTCCGTGGTTTTGCTTTCCTTGGTTTCAGCCATCTACAGCCTACTGCAGTCTGAAAATAGGTAAGGACAGAACAATAACATATTTTGAGACAAAAAGAGAGAGAGAGAATACATTCACATAACTTTTTGCTTTTTGAGTTGGAACCTTACTCCGTCACCCAGGCTGGAGTGCTGTGGCATGCTCACAGTCACTGCAGCCCCGACCTGCTAGGTTCTGGTGATCCTTCCACCTCAGCCTTCCATATAGCCGGAACTAGAGGCGCGCACTACCACGCCCAGCTAATTTTTCATTTATTGTAGAGATGAGGTCTCGCCAAGTTGCCCGGGCTGGTCTCGAACCCACAGACACAGGCAATCCACTTGCCTCAGCCTCCCAAAGTACAGGGATTACAGGCTGAGCCACCGAGCCTGGCCTTCACATAACTTTTATTAAGTACAGTCATAATTATTCTATTTTATTATTAGCTATTGTTGTTAATCACTTTATGTGCCTAATTTATAAATTAACTTTATCACAGGCATTGTACATGTGTGTGTATAGAGGGTTCAGTACTATCCGTGGTTTCAGGCAGCCTCTGGGGAATATTGGAGGTCTTAGTCCTGAAGGAGAAGAAGGAGAATACTGCTGTATCTAATACTGAGTCAGTTCCTCACTTTGAATACAGAGTACACTCAGACATTTCCCTAAAATTCTCTCCAATTGCTTTCTGATGACTTAAGTTATCTGAAAATTCTCTAACTTGAGACAAAGATTATCATTCTACAATTAAAAACAATTGATCAGGTGCAGTGGCTCATGCCCATAAACCCCACACTTTGGAAGGACAAGATAGCAACAAAAGCTCAATCATACTTGATTTTATTCAGTCAACCAATGAGCATAAAAGACCATTAGAGGCCAAGCGTGGTGGCTCATGCCTGTAATCCCAACACTCTGGGAAGCCAATACAGGAAGACTGCTTGAGCCCAGGTGTTTGAGACTAGTCTACAACATTGCAAGACCTTGTCTCCATAAAAAATTTAAAAATTTGCTGGGTGTGGTGGCACACACCTGTAATCCCAGCTACTCAGGAGACTGAGGCAGAAGGATCACCTGAGCCCAAAGTATTGCCTAAGCCCAGGAGTTCAAGGTTTGGTGAGCCATGGTTGTGCTACTGCTCCAGCCTGGACCACAGAGTGAGAATTGACTCAAAAAAAAAAAAGACTAATAGATTATTTTTTGCACTCATAAACAAAAAAGGGTCAGAGAACAGGTGGACAGTAGGTTCCTAGAAGATAAAACATTTCCACACAGAGAAGAAAAAGATGCCAAGAAAAAAAAACCAATCACAATAAAATGTACCATCTGTGTGCTATAAGCTCATGACATACGAGAGACAGCATCACAATAAGATCTTTCCAGAATTTCAAGGGACATTGTCACAAAATTTTTATTTACCCTCAAAGATGAAAACTGTTACTAGAAGAATTCAGCTTTCCTTCCATTTCAACACTTCAATGGTTTGACTAAATAATAAAAAGAAAAAATTTAATCTTCAGAATCTAATTTTCAAACATAATCTTACCTGACCTATGGGGTAATTTCAGAACAAAGGGCTTCATGTCAACCACAAAGTGATCAAATTCTGCATCCAGCATCTCCCATTTTTCTTCTTCACTTCCCACTTCCATAATCCAATCTGTACAAGATTTTAAATTAAAATATTAAGGATCTGTATGCTGAAAACTACAAAACTCTGCTGAAAGAGATCAAAGAAAACTCATCACAGTTAAATACTCAATTCTCCCCAAATTGATCTATAGATTTAATGCATTCCAATCCAAATCCAGCAGTATTCTTTGTCGATAGAGACAAACTAATTCTAAAATTTACATGAAGATGTAAAGGAGGCCAGGCACAATGGCTCACACCTATAATCCCAGCACTTTGGGAGGCCGAGAGGCGAGAATATTGCCTGAGCCCATGGGTTCAAGACCAGCCTGGGCAGCTTGGCAAGATGTCATCTCTACCATAAATCAAAAAATTAGCCAGGCATGGTGGCACATGCCTGTAGTTCCAGCTGAAGGATCACCTGAGCCCAACAGGTCGAGGCTGTGGTGACCATGAGCGTGCTACTGCACTCCAGCCAGGATGACAGAGTAAGACTCCGACTCAAAAAAAAAACATGTAAAGGAACTAGAATAGCCAAAACAATTTTGAAAAAGAACAAAGTTGGAGTGATTTTAAGATGTAATATAAAGCTACAGTAGTCAAAACAATTTAGACACACAAACCAATGGAACACACTAGAAAGTCCCAAAATGGACATACACAAACATGACAACTGATTTTCAGCAAAGGCACAATTCATGGAGAAATGACCATTTTTACAAGTGCTGCTATAACAACTGAACATAAATATGTAAATAAAATCAAACCTCAACCTAAATCTCATATATATACGCATATATGTATACATATGCATATAGTGACTCAAAATGAAAAATAGATCTCTGTGTAAATGTAAAACTACAAAACTCTTAGAAGAAAATATAGGAGAAAAATCTTTATTACCTTGGCAAAGATTTCTTACATACAACACAAAAAGCACTATCTGTAAAAGCACTATCTGTAAAAAACTGATATACTGGAATTCACCAAAAGAAAAAAAAAACTTGCTCCGCAAAGGACTCTGTTAAGAAATTGAGAAGATAAGCCTAGCCTACATCTCATAAAAGACTAGTATCAAGAATATAGACCAGGCTCAGTGGCTCTGCCTGTAATCCCAGCACTTTGGGAGGCCAAGGCTGAACCTGTGGGTTCGAGACCAGCCCGGGCAACTTGGCAAAACTTCATCTCTACAATAAATAAAAAATTAGCCAGGCATGGTAGCACATGCCTGTAGTTCCAGTTACTAGAAAGGCTGAGTTGGAAGGATCGCTGGAGCCCAGCAGGTCGCCACTGGGGTGGCCGTAAGCATGCCACTGCACTCCAGCCTGGGCAACGGAATGAAACTTCAACTCAAAGAAAGAAAAGAAGAGTATATAAAGAACTCTCAAAACTCAACCATAAGAAAATAACCCAATAAAAATATCGTTAGTCATTGCAGAAATGCAAATTAAAAACCATGCAATTCCACTACAAACACAACTAAAATTAAAAACACAAACAATACCAAGTGCCAGTGAGCACACAGAACAGGAACTCTCATGTATTGAGGTAGACATGCAAAACGGTATACTCACTCTGGAAAAGAGTTTGGCAGGTTCCTACAAAGTTAAAACGCACTTATCATACAACCCAGAAATCCTACTCCCAGGTATTTATTTAAGTAAGATGAAAAAAATCTATATTCACACAAAAATCTGAATGTATTTTAGCAGTTTTCCCTTTTTTTTCTTGGTAATCACCAAACACTGAAAACACAGATGTCCCTCAACTGGGAATGGATAAATAAACCGTGGTATATCCACACAGTAACACTACTCAGCAACAGAAAGGAATAAACTGTTGATGCACACAAAACAACTGGAGTAAACTTCAGACGTATTATGCTCAGTAAACGAAGCCAGTCACAATAGGCTACATACTAATTTCATTATGACCTTCTAGAAAAGGCAAACATGTAGGCATAGAGAACAGATCAGTGGCTCACAGGGGTTAGCAGTGGGGGAGAGTCTGAACATAGGGGAATGGCACAAGGAAATTCTTGGGGGTGCCGAAACTGCTCTACACACTGTCTACAAAGGGGTTACGACAACTTATGTGTGTACAAAAACTCACAGAACTGTAACACCATTTATTTCCCTTAAAAAAACTTTCAATATTGGCTTCATATTTCTTCCTAATTTTAAACAAGAAAATCACTGACTACAAAGAGGGTGAATCCCAAAAATCAGAAACGTTAGGTTTTGACAAAATTTCTTAGGATAATTATATCCATACTCTACATGTTCCTTTAAATTGTGAAATGTCTTTATAGAGATGTGGACTACCTTCACTATATATCATGCCCAATTTGTCATTTATTCAACTTACAAATTATATCTTTGGGGGAAGTTCTGCTCTGCTTCATAAGCTATCTTGCTCCACAGACTGCCCTTTCCCGGCTAAACCAGCTTCTGATACTCACCACAGTATCCACCATTTCATTATCAACAACTTCTTCATAGAAAGTTCTGTCTACCTTTGTATCTGCAAGTAAACCCTAGTATCCACTGGCTGACTTGCTTCCCTCAACCATTAGAAGTGAACCAACGTTTAAAAAAAAGGAGGGAACGAGCATCTCTCATTCTTTCTTTTCTTTTGAGTTGGAGTCTCACTCTGTAGCCCAGGCTGGAGTGCAGTGGCCCGCTCGCGGCCACCACAGCCTAGACCTGCTAGGATCAAGTGATCCTTCTGCCTCAGCCTTCCAAGTAGCTGGAACTGCAGGCATGCACCACCACGTCTGGCTAGTGTTTTGATTTATTGTACAGCTGAGGTCACACCAAGTTGTCCAGGCTGGTCTCAAACCCCTGGACTCAGGCAAATCTCTCACCTCAGCCTCCCAAAGTGCTGGGATTACAGACTTGAGCCACTGTGCCCAGCCCAATGTCTCTCATTCTTATCTTCTCTCCATCTGTCTGTCTCTCTGTCTCTTTGTCTCTCTCTCTCAGTCTCTCCATCTCCATCTGCCTCTCTCCATCTCCCTCTCAGTCTCTCTCGGTTTCTTTCTCTCTCTCTCTCTCTCTCTCTATCATGCTACTGAAAATAATCTTCCAGAGTTCACCAATGATCCAACAGCCAAATCTAAAGGGCCATCTTCAGTTTGCATCCAATGTGACATCTCCCAGCACCTTATGCTTCTGATAACTCGCTACTCTTAGAAACTCTTCTCGTGTGGTTTCAGTGGTTCCATCTACCCCCGGGTCCCCTGCTGCCTCCCAGATCATTTCTTCTCAGTCTCTTCACGCTTCTCTGTCCATTAAATTGGGATTCTCCAGTTCTCTCCCCTTAGCCTTCTTTTAATCTGACTTTCCACTCTACCTGTGTGATAACATCCACTACCATAACCATACCATAATTATTCTCAAGCAATTTACCTGTTTTATTTCAAACTCCAGTCTCTCTTTGCAACTCGATTCATATTTACAACAGCCTCTTGGACCTATTCATTAATGTCCTGTTCCTAAATTTCACGTCTTCTTCCCGGTAAGACTACTCTACCTGTGTAACATCCTGCTTGGTGGCATCATCATTTACATCACCTCCCAAGTTAGAATTCTCAGTGTCTCCGTTCTCTAAACTCCCACAAGTCAATGTATCAAGAAATGCACAGAAATATCTCAAAATCCACCCGCCTCTCTATTCTCACTGCCACAGTCTCAGACAAAGACCTGTCCACACTTATCTGTGCTACCACAACAGCCTCATAACCTGTCTCCTACTGGCATCTTCTCTACTTGAGTCCATTTTCCTCACTGCACCAGAATAAGCTCCTAAAGACAAAGCTAAGTACAGCACTCCCCGTTTTAACACTCTCTCATGACTGCCTGCAAGAGGACAGTATCTAAACCCGAAGTCAGGCATACAAGTACCTTTTTAGGCCTATGTCTCACCTCTCACAAACACTTTGCCTAGCTATACCATCCTACCAATGACCACTTCATTCTTGTCACAATGAACTCCCCACCATTCTTCAAAGACTCCAAGCTCTTATCTGATCCCACACCCTATTCAGAGGCTGTTCCCTCGGTCTGAATCAGGTAAATGCAGCTCAAATGTCACTTGTGAGTGGAGCTGGACTTTCCTTCCCCACGCTGGGTGTTACTCCATTCTCCGTGTAAATGCTCGCATCTATGCAATAGCATTTATCGTGCTTTTTAAAACAAAAAAACAAATCTGTGTATTATTTACATATCTTCTGCTATCTGTGAGATGCTCCTGGAAGGCAGTGACCATAACTTACCCAACTTAGAAGGCACCTAGCATAGTATCTGATATACATTCGGAGAGGAAGAACTGCCTGCTAAATAAACAGATTAGTGACCCACTTCTACATGATTAATAGGTTGTCTAATGCTTCTGGTTCTGAGTACCAACTAGGTCTTCCAGAATAGGAATATTGTATGCCACTAATTCCATTTGTCAAAACCAGTCATCCTATCTTCTGCATTACAGGAAAAAACATTTTCAAATTGAAGACCTGGTTAAATTAATTTTATTTAAATGCATATTTTTCTTTTTTCGGGTTGGAGTCTCACTCCATCGCCCAGGATGGAGACAGTGGCACACTCACCGCCACCCCAGCATCGACTTGCTGGGCTCTGCCTCAGTCTTCCAAGTAGCCGAACTATAGGCACGCGCTACCATGCACGGCTAATTTTTTGATTTATTGTAGAGATAAGGTCTGGCCAAGTTGCCCAGGCTGTCTCAAACCCGTGGGCTCAGGTAATCCCCTCACCACAGCCTTCCAAAGTGCTGGGATTACGGCTTGAGTCACCATACCCGGCCTAAATGCATTTTCTGATTAGCTAGTTGGTTTGGAGGTTTTTTGGTTTGGTTGATTGGTCTTGTTATATATCCCTGCAATATATTCTAGCAGTTATGTTCTTGGTAATGGAAGGTTATAACACCATTGTTAGATGTTAGCACAAAATTGAAAAGGAGCCAAGCACAGTGGCTGATGTCTGTAATCCCAGCGCTTTGGGAAGCGGAGATGAGAGGATTGCCTGAGTCCAGGGTTTGAGACCAGTC